AAAAAATAATAATAATAATAAATAAATAAATACTTACTGAGTTACATAAAGTAACTTAGGAAAAGTGTTTGGAACTTGGCACAGCACAAGTATACATCAATATTTTAAGCAATAGAATTACTTATAACAATAAGATGACTCAAGCCAAGTCTGAAATAAGATTATTTTAAATCCTTGAAGAGCAGTGATGGGCATAACTGTTGTCTGAAAGTGGCAAGGCCTGTTTTTTTCCCTAAAATGTGAAGGCTTAAACTTTTAGGGATTAAAAGGCTTTGTTTTTGGAGAATCATCTGAATGGATACTCAAATTTACACAAATGTAGAGCAATGGTTCTCTGCTAGAATAGAAAGATTTTAGATATATAGCATCAAGAAAATAAACAGCTTTGCTTAATATTATAACATATTTATATTACTGTAGCAAAATCTGTTTCTCTTAAACACATGGTCCTTGGGGCGCCTGGGTGGCTCAGATGGTTCAGCGTCTGCCTTGGGCTCAGGTCATGATCCCAGGGTCCTGGGATCGAGCCCCACATGGGGCTCCTGGCTCAGTGAGGAGCCTGCTTCTCCCTCTCCCTGCTCATGCTTTCTCTCTCTCTCTCTCTGTATCTCTGTGTCTCAAGTGAATAAATAAAATCTTTTAAAAAAAATGGTTCTTTACTATGTATGAATCTAAATTATTCTATGCCGTACATTATTGCTTGTCCTTATAAAAGTCAATAAGCAATTTCTTTTTTTCCAAACAGTGACCCATAGAAATTGGAAGAGGGGAACTGGAAATGACAGAGAAGACTGGGAGACATGATTTTCATTGCCCACTGACAAAGGATATAAAGAATTAGATCTGGATTGCTGAAGGCCCACATGAGCTCTGCCGTGAATGTCCATAAAATGCTGTATTTTGAAGGAAAAACACCCTCAAACTCTTAGAAATGTATTGATGTTACATTATCCTGGTCTGAAGTCCCTTGGGAAACAAAGGGCAAGACCCCACCCTTATGTGTAGGAGTGGGATTTGGGGAGAGGAAGAGTGGAGACTGAAAGGGAATAGCCAGAGACATCATATTTCTGATACAGAAACATAAGTATTTTGTACAACTTTAGAGAGGGCAGAGACTGGTACTAATACATATTTGTTGAAGTGGGAATTTAAGTCAGAATTCAAAGAATAAGAAATACTTGTGACTCTAGAGGACTGAAGAATGATGTAGAGGAGTACAAGGAAAATGTTAATTACAGAAGATGCAGAGTTTGTGAAATAAACATCCAAAGGTGAAGAGTCTGAATCTAATAAGAACTAACTTAGTAATAAAAGGAAACCAGTTGGAGGAAGATCAAGCAGATGTGTATGGATTTGAAATAAAAAGATACTATGATGACAAAGAGAACAATGAAATGAGAATTACATTTGAGAAAGGGGAGCCAGTAATCATCTTCATAAAGGAAGGGGTGTGGCAAAACAGAAAAAAGGAGATGAGTAGCTTTGGCCATAAGCCAGCATGGAAGTGATAAAAGCCAAAGAGAGCTGAAAAACTGAAATTACAAATATGAAATAAGAAAATTTTGCATTTTATGAGTACTGTGTGAAAATATTTTCTTAAGAGCTAGTTGGTACCAGACTTCTGTTTTTTAGGAAAAGCTACTTTCTATATGGAATGTAAGAATCTGAAAGCAATGCTTGGCAGTGCAAAACAGAGATCATTGATGTTCTTCATGAAAAGTAAACGAGAATGATGAGGGAACAGAAAGCAAGCTGAGGACAAAGCACAAGCTGACACCCTGCAAACCTCCACCCCCACTTCCATGTGGGATATATGTGACATTCCTCAGGCACTCCTGGCTGCCCTCAAACTAAGGAAAGGGGAAAAAAAACCCAACAAAAACAAATGGTTAACTAATAGAGATCACAGTCCCACAAGACATGAGCCTCTATCAGTTTACAAATGTCTTAGTGATTTACAAGGAAAAAGCATTCTTATCAATAGACCAACTTCCATAGACCCATAGACTCAATTTCCTGGAGCCCTAACATCACCTACCCATCCATAGTGATGTGGGAAACAAAGGTAGAAGGGAATGTAAATAAAATAAAATTTCCTTGTAACCTGCAGCCAATGGACAAGGACTTGTGATAGGCAGAGTATAACAACCTCCCAAGTGTCTTAACGTTAATGATTTGCTAGAGGGAAAAACCACCTTAACTTGACAATGGCAAGGTCTCAATATCCTGTGGGTCCTCATTAGCATAAAAATGTTCTTTTGAAAACTTCCCTTCTCCCTTACCTCCCCCCCAACTCCCAAGTATGTAATCAGCCAGTCCTCAAAACTTCAGTGCAGCAACTCTTTCTGCCTATGGGTCCTGTCCCCGTGCTTTAATAAAACCACCTTTTTGCACCAAAGAGGTCTCAAGAATTCTTTCTTGATTGCTGGCTCCAGACCTCACCCCACCAACACCAACTCATCTACATTAAAAAACTACATCAAGAAGACCTCCTCTAATACTGTTGACTGAACTTCCCTTTATATAGTAATACTGGATAAAATATAGTAATAATTATATAAACCATATGCCCAGCTCAATAACAAAAACAAAAAAAACCCAAAAAACAAAAAACCACAACAGGAAATTCTCAGTGCCAGAAACAAACTGAAAAATTGCAATGTTCCCACATTTTATAACCTGGCTATATGGCTCAGGAGCCAGTGGCTGGGTTTCAGGGCACAAGCATAAGGCCTGGAGCCTCAGTGAGGCAGAGGAGCAGGAACTAAGCCCTTAGGTAAAACCTCAAGCCTTAAGCAACTGCCAGTCACTGGGACTGAAAAATCCCACCTGCTAGTCTGGGGAAGTAGAGAAGGTTGTTCTTTGCCTGGGGCTTTGAATAGGGGTTACAAACAAAAGGTACCTGTGAGAAATAAAAACCCCAGGCCTGCATGACATAAATTTACAATATCTGCATAATTCAGGAACCCCAAACTGAGAAATAATCATTCACAAATGCCCCAGGATATTTAAGAGGCAAAAAACCCTGGCAGAAACAAATACATAACTGTTCTGAAGGGACTCTTTCACAACTTGGCATAAGAGACTCCCATCAACAAAACCACCCCATCCCAGAACAGTACCAGGGGAGGATATAAATCACTATGGAGTAAAACTCAGCAAATGTTGTAAATAGTAGAGTTAGGAACTCAAAAGCTGGAAGTACCTGAAAGAGAAGATAAAGATATTTGATTAAAGAGGCAAAATAGCAGAAATTATGATGAAAGAATATAGACAGATTTCACAAAGAACCAAACATAACATGTAGTACTGAAAACAGTTTTGTCATTGAAATGAAAGTGAATGGGCCTAACTGGATCCCATAGGTGAATGAATGGTCACGTCCTTTTCTATTACTTAAATTATGTTCAGCTATATTTCTTGTCAAACAGGTTATACTTGGGGGCGCCTGGGTGGCTCAGTTGATTAAGCGACTGCCTTCAGCTCAGGTCATGATCCTGGACTCCCGGGATCGAGTCCCGCATCGGGCTCCCTGCTCAGCAGGGAGTCTGCTTCTCCCTCTGACCCTCCTCCCTCTCATGCTCTCGGTCTCTCATTCTCTCTCTCAAAATAAATAAATAAAATCTTTAAAAAAAAAAAAAAACAGGTTATACTTGGTGTATTCAAAATGTGCTGGTATGCAATACAGTTTTACAATATGGACTTCCCGTCATTATCAATTCATTCCTTTGAACCCCAATTAATCTCTCAACAAAATGAATCAACCTTTCCTTATGTCTGCAGGGAAGGTAAAGTCCTTTCATTTTTTCTTCGGTCCTAAGTTGCAGGGTGAGAGAATTCATCTAAGTCCCAAGAAGAGCTACTTGAGAACTCTAAAATTAGAAATGTGCACCCAGGGAAAGGCTGTCCTTCCGTGTCCTGGAAGAGTAGACCAAATCTTTTTCCTAGGTCCCCCTTATGGCTTTATCAGTGCCTTTGTTGGTGCTGCCCGCCTTGTACATAAGGACTAAAACTCCCCCGGCCTGTCAATCTTGAACCTTTCAAAAGATTTTGATCCATGGTGATGAAACGAGAACAGTGTTTTATTTTTACATTTACCCTATGGTCTATCTTTACTTCCAGCCCTTCCCTCTCCAAGTTAGGGCAGTATCACAGAGTTGTCGCAGGATTTTAAAGCCCTTGGAACCCAGCCTGTCACACAAAGCTCAATAAATATTAGCTGTCGGGTTTCCAAAGAAATTCTCTGAAATGTTAGTTCTGCCACTGCTTTATCGAAGTGCAGGGAGGGAGCACCTATTCGTCCACCTCCCGCTGCCGGCCCCACACAATTTCTCCTCTGGGATCAGCACGGCTTCCGGGAGCGTCCGCGAAAACTAACGTCCCTCCCCATTGCGAAATTTGAGACGAAAAAGCCCGCCAGGGTCCGGAGCCAGGAGGGGCGGAGCCAGAACGCGCCCCACAGCCCGCCCAAATTCCGCGCCTCCCCAGCCCGGACAAAGCGTAGCCTCCCATTCTTGATAAATGTGAGCCAAATCGGGTAAATCCTGAGGCTTCTGAAGTACAACGAGGACACCGGCCACAAGGATTCCCGCCTCCCTGCCTCCACGACTCTAAGGCTACAGCGTCCGTACAACCAAGCCCCGCCAAGCCCGCGGGACGCCGGACGGGGCGGGGCCGCTGGGAGGACCCGAGGCCCACGGGGCCTGGGGTGGGGCGGGGCCGGCGCGGCGCGAGGCCCCGAGGCTGAGGTGCGTGGCTGCCCGAGGAGTGCCGGATGCTGAGTTCAACACATGCCACTCGCTCTTTTAGTCCTCAGGCCCCAGCCGTCGCATCCCCAGAGCTGCCCATGTCGTGACGCTCTTTCCTATCTCCCTGTCACTTTGGTTGTTCGATGGGAGGGAAAAATGGAACCCCTAAGTCAGGCATCTCCTAGGCACCGGCCAATGAAATAGGCAGTGGAGGTGGGGTCCTTTGCTCGCGCCGAAATTCAAAGGTATAAATATTTCCGGCCCTGATGCGGAGCGCGGGGCGGGTGTTGCAGCCGCTATGGAGGGCTTCTCTTGGTAGCGCCCGAAGCCTGGCAGAGCGGGCCGGCTTTCTGCTCTTGTAACCAGGAGTAGCTTCTAGGGCGCCTCAAGCCGGGGCGGCCTGGCGCAGCGGTGAGGCGGGTGCGTGCGCGCGGCTGGTTGGGCCTAGTCTGGCATTCCTTGGCTGGAGAGGAGGAGGGGTTTTTTTGTGTGTGCCAGGGGAGAGAGGGGTTAGCGAGAAGGGCCCTCAAACTAAAGTGAGTCCTAATGGGTTCCCTGACAGAGTGGCTACTTCCTTTCCAGCCTTGGAGTAGGGCAAACGTGTTGATAGAAAGGCCTGGTGGGGCTAGGGAACAGGCAGAGTGAAAACAAGCTGGAGAGTATGTGGGATTCATCTATTTAGTGAATATTGATGGCACTTCCCTTTCCCGGCGCCCTGGAGTCAGGCACTGTTCCGGAATACAGCGGTGGACGCAGGCAAAGATTCTACAGGAACTTGCATTACGATAGTCTGGATAGACGAGTAAATAAATACTGTTTAGTGTCATCCTAAGTACGATGAAGGAAAAAGCAGAGTGAGGGGATGGGCACAGGTGCGTTTTTAAATAGGGAAGTCAGAAAAGACCCTAGTAAGATTACGTTTGAGCAAGGACTTGAGTGTAGTAAAGAGCGAGTCATGTCATTTTTGGGGAGCAGGACATTATGGACAAAGGGAGTGGGATATGAAATAATCAGTTTCTGTTAGAGTATGATAAAGATGGAAGGTAAGCCTAGAAAAGTAAGTCGTTGACTTCAGGTTGAATTAATGGTTTAATTCCAATTAATTAAGTTGGAAAAAGGTGTCTTTACATTAGAGGAAGTAGCTCGGCAAGTGGCTGTTTTCTATTAAGCTGTCATTCTTACGTTTTAGTCTTTTACATACATTATGATTACAGATTTCTGTCCCACTTATCTATTTCTGTTTTATACAGAGCTGCTTTGTGGCCTGTTGGATTCCTAGCAGACGTTTACCTGTCCAAGGCAGTAGTGAAAATGCATGTTAAGTCAATCATCCTTGAAGGATTTAAGTCCTATGCTCAGAGGACTGAAGTCAATGGTTTTGACCCCCTCTTCAATGCTATCACTGGTTTAAATGGTAGTGGGAAATCCAACATATTGGACTCCATCTGCTTTTTACTGGGCATCTCCAACCTCTCTCAGGTAAACTTTCTGATTTATGTGGGTTATAAGTTTGGGGACCCTCAGGGGAATCCACATTGGACTTAGAGACTATTGCCAGTATTCTCTTCATTTGCATTTTTGTTTATGCAAATTATCTTACACCTCACCACAATCCTTTAGAGGTAGATATTATTACTCCGTTTTTCAGGTGAGAAAACAGAAACTTGGTGTTGCGTAAGGTTCATCCCTTTTAAGATGTTCGGAGCAACACTCAAAGTCAGGTATTCTTTAAGGCAGTCTTCTTCCAGAGTCTGTATTCCTATCCACTCATTATAATGCCTTTTCAGGATCTAAAGGAATTGGATGAACAGTGAAATTCTTAGATGCTGTCTTCCTAAATCTTTGAAATGAACTTCAGTTAAGAAATGAGTGGAAAACCATTCAATGCAGGGGTGGAAAAGCCCTGTGGAGAAAGGCACTCATTTTAGGTGGTTTCCCATTTTCCTTGCTTTTCTTAGTTCTGAATGCAACTGTCTGTCCTTGGCTACTTAATGGATACTACATGGGTGGTTTTCCAACAGCAAGAAACCCAATTTTAATGCCATTTTGTGCAGTACGGGGTTTTGTAATTGATGACCTTTTCTTTTGTTTTAGGTTCGGGCTTCTAATTTACAAGATTTAGTTTACAAAAATGGGCAGGCTGGTATAACCAAAGCCTCAGTGTCAATCACATTTGATAATTCTGACAAAAAGCAAAGCCCTTTAGGATTTGAGGTTCATGATGAAATTACAGTAACAAGGCAGGTGAGTGGTTTCGAAATATCTGGGTATCTAGGAACTTACGTCTGAGGTGTTTTTGGCTATGTGACTTTCGTGGAGAGAAAGTTTATGAGCAAAATTGATCAAATACTGACTAGATTTCTTTTTTTTTTTTTTAAGATTTTATTTATTTATTTGACAGACAGCGAGAGAGGGAACACAAGCAGAGGGAGTGGGAGAGGGAGAAGCAGGCTTCCTGCTGAGCAGGGAGCCCGATTCGATGCAGGGTTCCATCCCAGGACCCTGGGATCATGACCTGAGCTGAAGGTACATGTTTAACCGACTGAGCCACTCAGGCACCCCCTGACTAGATTTCTTAAGAGTATCTTCCTTATGTTAAAAATTTGATCATGCAAATTCTACCATTTACCAAGAGGATTGAAAGGGATCTGAAAAGCCATCAATCAGTGTAGACACTCAACCATGCTTAAATCTTGAACCATACTTGAATCTTCTCTGTGCTGGAATACCTATAGTTGGGATCTTGTTATCTTCTGAGGTAATATATTCTGTTACTGGTCAGGTCTAATTAGTTATTCCTATAAAATGAGCTGAAGTGTTGTCATCAACTTTTACACATTAAATCTGGTTCCTTGAAAGCATCGAAAAGCAAATCTAATGTATTCCATATTTTAATATTTAGGTTTAATATTTAGGTGTTAAATATTTAATATTTAAGCTAAATCTCTCTAGGTCTTTCAACTGATAATTGTTTCTATTTTCTTCACTTGTCTGATCACACTGAATACAAACTTGCTCTAGTTTTTTTATGCCCTTATTATTTTTAATGCATGGCACCTTAAATTGCATTTACCAGAAATAGTCTCCTTAGGACAGGATTAAGCAGAATTGTCATTTCTTTAATTTTAAGTGCCCTTCTGTTTTCCCCTATATGACATTGGAGAGTTCATAATACATTATGAATTCATATCTGATTTACTTAAAAATCACTCTAATTTTTTAAATGTGTGTTATTAGCTATGTTACTGCCATTTCTGTATGCAGGTTTTTAAAACCAGTGCAGGACCATACATCTGTCCCTTTTTCTTATAGTCATACAATGTTACTTTGTCAGTTTTATTTTTAAAAATTCTGTTAAGTCCTGTTTACTCTCCATCTTAGCATTATGTAACTTATGAATCCCCTTTCTATTTTAATAAAAACCTCTGGCTAAAAAAAAAATAAGGCATTGACTAGGATAAAATCCTGTTGTGTGTCATTAAGTATCCATGAAATACTTTTAGGAATTTTCAGTAAATCTGCTACTAATCTACCTAAAAATCCTTTCCTCATGCATTCCATATGCCTGTATTTTCACCAAAATTTTGTCATAAGGATTTTGTTAAAATATTTATGTATATTAGGTCTGTTCAAATATATTAATATATGATCAGCTTCATACTCCTGTCAAGAAATGAATTAACACTCATTCAGTATTTTATTAAATGTTTGCTGTGTGCTGGGCATTCTTGAAGGCACTGGGAAATACAGATAGAAGAATGAGTAACATCTTATTAAGGACCTCAAAATACTATGGGTGAGATGATTATTTAGGTGACAATAGAAGTGCAATAGTAGAGTCTGAACAAGCTGGTGTCTGGTATAAGTTCTTTGAAGCTCTATGATTACTCTTTTTCTTTCAAGAATTCACAAGTCATATCTTTATTAACCCCTTTTAGAATCTTGTCAAGGATTGTTATCAAACTTCTTGTCTTTGGGGCAGCTCAGTGGCTCATTCGGTTAAGCGTCTGATTCTTGATTTCAGCTCAGGTCATGATCTCGGGGTTGTGAGATCAAGCCCCCTCGTGGTTCTTAACGCAGGGCGTGAAACCTACTTAAGATTCTCTTTCCCTTTCCCTCTTAAAAACAAAAACAAAATGAGAAAAACCAAAACAAAACCGCCTGTCTTTAGTTTTTAGTATCTGACTTCTGTTCTTTGGAAATTAAAACGAGGAAAGAGGGGTTAACCTCTGAGCGTGGAAAAATTGCAGAAAGAGTGATCAGGGTTAGAATATGTTTTACACATGCTTGGAAACAAAGTCAAAAGTGACCTTAGAGATCTAGTCCAATGCAGGGGAGGTTAGGAGGATTGTGCATGGTTATATAACTAGTTAGCAAAAGTCTTTGGATTGAGTCAGGACAATTGACGTCTATATTCTTGTTGACCATCTCACACTTCCTCCATTATTTACTCAGGATTGGTTTTATTTACCATTAGTTGGACAGAACAAACAAGTGAAACATATTTGGGAATTTATCATCTTAGTTCAAGATGTGTATGTTCATTTATATATTTTAAAATACTTCCCTTTTAGGTGGTTATTGGTGGTAGAAATAAATATTTAATCAATGGAGTAAATGCAAACAATACCAGAGTACAAGATCTCTTCTGTTCTGTTGGCCTTAATGTTAACAACCCTCACTTTCTCATCATGCAGGTATTTTATTTATGGTCTTTATATAATGGTTTTGACATCGTTTATTTTTTAAGTTATTATAATAGGAGAAGTGCTTCTTTTTGGGTGTTCTATTGTACTGGTATTTGGGTACCTGTTAAGAGTATAGGTTTATATGTACTGATATGTTCTAAGATACACATTTGAAGAATGTCTAGAAGTAATTTTCCTGGACTTATTTTGTTATTGCAAGAATAATACACGGTCACTGTAAAAATTTTTAAAAATATATTGTCATAATGTATCTTTTTAAAGTACTGGATTCAAGCATTTCATTATTTCACATATATACTAAATTTTAAGTAATTTTCTTCCTTAGAAACTTATTCAAATGAAAAATAAGTGCTAATATTGTCTTGCCCTTATATTACCTCACTTGACCCATCCATCTCTCCTCTTAGAAAATCCCAGCAAGGCCAATGGCAGGATCCTAATGCAACCAAAATAACATTATTTTTACCACATCACAGCCTCAAAGCTGAAAATTGATTTCAAATGAATCTAAATCCTAAGTAATATGATGCCCCAGAGTTGGGTTAGTAGGGTTTTGTTTTGTTTTTTGATAGTGATATGCTGGCATTGAAATAAAAGATGTTACTCTTTTATTTGAGGCCCAGAAGTGTGCAGTGTATTTCTAGAAATTATCTTGGAGCACAGCCATTAAAAAAAAAACAAGAAGTGTTCAACAGTTATGCCAACATTTATATATTTATATACTTGCTGGAGACTTCTATGTCATTATTGTTTCAGAAATATGGTCTGAGTTAACTTTGTATTAATAACTGTATGTCACTGGTAAGTGAAAAGGTAAATAGCAAATGTCTGGAATTATAAGGCACCTTTGGTCTCAAATGTAATGTAGGTAAAAGAACTCCCAAAAGATTTGTATATTAGGATGGAACAACTTCAGGGCAGATAAACATGTATGCCTATATGACTCTATCATTATAGTAACTGCCATTTTATTTTTCAGGGCCGAATTACAAAAGTATTGAATATGAAACCTCCAGAGGTAAGGATACTATTTGTGGACAGTAAAAATTATAATTGTAGATATTGTTTTTAATCTTTTAAATCAATTTTTTAAGCATAATTTCTTCCATTAAAATTCTTGGAAACATTACTAAGTGATTAGTAAAGTCATTTTTTGTTTTTTTGTTTGTTTTTTACTATTTGGCACTGTGTCACCCCACCTTTTTAAAGCTGTATAACATAACCCTTCTGAGCCTGTGTTTCCTCATCTGTAGATTAGAGTCAAAAGTCCTTACCTCAGGTATTTTGAGGATTAAATGAGAATGTTTAAGAAAAGCCACGGGTCATTGTTGAGCAGATATTTTTTAATGTAGGTATAAGTGATATACTAGTTTCAAGTGTGCAGCATAGTGATTAAATACATGTCGTCATTGCAAAGTGATCCTTATAAGTCATTTAACAGCCATCACCACAATTAAAATTTTCTTTTTTAAAGGTTTTATTTATTTATTTATTTATTTGACAGAGAGAGAGAGTGAGAGCAGGAACACAAGCAGGGGGAGTGGGAGAGGGAGCAGCAGGCTCCCCACTGAGCAAGAAGCCCGATGCAGGACTAGATCCCAGGACCCTGGGATCACGACCTGAGCCGAAGGCAGACGCTTAACGACTGAGCCACCCAGGCGCCCCAGAATTTTCTTTTTCTTATGAGAACTTTAAGATTTACTCTCTTAGCAACTTTCAAATATACAATACAGTATTAACTATAGTCACCATGCTATATATTATATCCCCAGGACTTTTGTAACTGAAGGTTGTAGCTTTGATCACCTATACCCATATTGCCCACCCACTAACCCCCATCTCTGGCAACCACTAATATGTTCTCTCTGAGCTCAGGTTTTTCTTTTTTTCTTTTTAGATTCCACATACAAGTAAGATTATACAGTATTTGTCTTTCTCTGTCTGACTTATTTCACTTAGCATAATGCCCTCAAGTTGCATCCATGTTGTCACAAATGGCAAGATTGTATTTTTTTTAAATAACTGAATAATATTCCATTGTGTATATACATATCACATTTTTTTTATCCATTCATCTGTCAGTGGACACTTTGTTTCCATGTCTTGGTATTATAAATGAGGTTGCAGATACCTTTTCAAGTTAGTGTCTTTGTATTCTTTGGATAAATATCCAGAAGTGGAATTGTTGGATTATATAGTAGTTCTATTTTTAATTTTTTGAGGAACCTTCATAGTTTTCAATAATGGCTGCACCCAATTTACATTCCTACCAACAGTACATAAGGTTTCCCTTTTCTCCACAGCCTCACCAACGCTTGTTTTTTCTTGTCTTTGTGATAATAGCCATTCTGACAGAAGTAGTAGCTCATGGTTTTAATTTGAATTTCCCAGATGATTAGTGATGTTGAGTACCATTTATATACATATTGGCCATCTGTATGTTTTTTGTGAAAAATGTTTGTTCCCATACACATGTTCCTTATGTATTTGGATAATAACCCCTTAGCAGATTCATGACTTACAACTATTTTCTCCCGTTCCGTAGGTTGCCTTTTCATTTTGTTTTTGGTTTCCTTTGTTGTGTAGGTTTTCAGCTTGATATAATCCCACTTGTTTATTTTTGCCTTTGTTGCCTTTGCTTTGGTGTTAAATCCAAAAAAATCCTCACCATGACCGATGTCAAGGAGCTTAACCTCCTGTGTTTTCTTCTAAGAGTTTTATGTGCCCAATATTAAAAGAAATTTGACTGTATCAAGCAGCCTTTCTCAACCAGTGTTCTGTGTCAGAGTTAAACCCTACAGAAGGGGCGCCTGGGTGGCTCAGTTGGTTGAGCGACTGCCTTCGGCTCAGATCATGATCCTGGAGTCCCGGGATCGAGTCCCGCATCGGGCTCCCTGCTCAGCTGGGGGTCTGCTGCTCCCTCTGACCCTCTTCCCTCTCGTGCTCTCTGTCTCTCATTCTCTCTCTCAAATAAATAAATAAAATCTTTAAAAAAAAAAAAACCAAAACAAAAAACCCTACAGAAGAAGATTTGAGTGAAATTAATTCATTGAATACAGTGGATTGCTTAGGGCACAGGGTATTAAGACTTAATTTTAATTTGTTTCTTGGAGCCCCCTTGAAAAGAGTTGGTATGAAGGAATGAATGTTTTGTATAAGAACAAAGTCTCTATAGTTACTCTTTTCTATTGAGAAGAGCTAAGAAGAAAAAACTGGTAATTGATAACACCAGTCTGGTTGGAACATAGGTCATGCATATCTTCTTTAGATAACATCTTAAGGGAAACTTCTAATTTGAAACCTGTCAAATACATAGAAATCAAAATGGTTTTGAGAGAAATAATCCTCTTGAGATAAGGATTGGTGGTGAGTAGAAGCTTCTGAAAAAGGAGTGCTGGTAAAATTGTTCTACTTTTAAAACATAATTGATTAGTGTTTGCCTTTTTCAGAGTGCTTTTCACATGAATTACTTTGTGTAATTCTCAATAGTGTTGTGAGATGTTAAGTACCCTGTGGATGAAGAAACTGGCACAAAAAATTAGGAATTTCTAAAGTGACAACTGAGTGTTGTTAGTCTTTACTTTTTTAGACTTATATATGAAGGAAAAGAGGAGGGAGGAATTACTGGCTTCAATTTTATTTTTATTTTTAAATTTTTATTTTTAGGTAATTTGTATATCCAACATGGGGCTCAAACCCACAACCCCAAAATCAAGAGTCACATGCTCAGCTGACCGAGCCAGTCAGACACCCCTGGCTTCAATTTTAAAAGAGATTTACTCTGCAACCTCAGTGTAGCATGCAGTTTGATTTTAGGATTGGAGTAAAGGTCAGAAATATTTCTTGAATGTTAGGGCTATGGGTAATACATGCACTTAACATCTCTGATCCATTTGGGATACTTTGGTAAAATGCTTAGTGAAGTTAAGACCTTAAATTATATACTTTTTGTAAACTCCAATGAAGTTCTTTATCTTGGATTCTAAAAACATTAATATAATTGTCTTTCCAGATTTTGTCCATGATAGAAGAAGCAGCTGGAACCAGGATGTATGAGTACAAAAAAATAGCTGCCCAGAAAACTATAGAAAAAAAAGAGGCTAAGCTGAAAGAAATTAAGACGGTAATTAAATTTACATAAAACGTTTTTTAACGAGAGTAATTTCAGAGTTTCTCTCTGTAAAGAGGAAGTTCCCCCTCCCTAGTTTTCCTTGGACTTCATGCTTCCTTTGCTTTTCAGTTTTTTTTAATGGTACTTTCATACTGAAAAATTGATTTTCCTTTATTTTCCAGATACTTGAAGAAGAGATTACTCCAACTATTCAAAAATTAAAAGAGGTATATACTATATAGAGGATAGCCAGCTAGAACATCTCTCAAAAATGGTGACATATTCAAGATTATACAAATAGAGATGAAATGTATACCACGTCTCAGGAATTTTTCTGTGGGAGAGATAGGAGTTAAGAGTTGGTACTTGATAATCAGCCTTCTGCTTGTAGAGGGCATGTTCTTCATATCTATTAATCATTGCTCTTCATAATCTCAGAAAATGATATGCCAGATTGTAATACTTTGTTGAAGAGAAGTCTGAATTTTCCTGGATAATTGGAATTAGTGAACTATTTCTTGAGGATATCACAGTCCTAGTAACCCTGTTGGTAGAGTGAATAACTTCTAGGATAATAGGGGCTATCACTGCAATTACTGCTGTCAAGACAGTTGGTAAGTGAGGGGTACTGAAACAGATGTCCAGATTTTTTCTATAATCTTTGTAGCTTCTGACATCAATGTTTCAGTGAAAAAATGCACTTAGAGTGCATTGATTTTAAAGTTACGCATTTAGGAATTCATTAAATGCTCATTAAAATTCGATACTTCTCAAAAGTTGTCTTCTGAATCCATATAGTAGTGTGGATGTTATTAGAAAAACTGAAAAGTGATCTTGAAGGTATCCTGTTTATATGAATGATTAGTAGAAAACACTAGATCATGAGTTTAAACCTAGGTTTTATACCTGATTTTGCCAAATTCTTTCTAAATCTGACAACATGGAGAGGTCATTTAACCACACTGAATTCATTTCTTCTCCTGCAAGTTCGAGATTTTAATTATTATTCTGTTTGCCCTAGCAGGTCCTTATTGGAATCAAGTTTAGTAATGTGTGAGCATATGTTTGTAAGTAGTTACATGATTGAATGTTGGGTAGGCATCTTGGTAATACTACTACAAAATACGTGTAATAGTATATCATTGGTGGTTGTATAGGTCATATTTATAGACTACTTACTAACCCCAGTTTATGAACCTTATGTCTACATTTCTTTGTTAATCCCAACTGCCTGATTATATATTGGAAGAAATAGCCACATGGGATTCACTGGGGATGGTATAATTCTGTCTGAAAAGCCAGAGGTCTAATGTTAAAGTTTCTATAATCCATGATCACTAATCTAAGACAAAATCTATTATGTGATGGGAAATTTTATACATGTTGCTATAGTTTGAGTCTTTCTAAATTTGTTGAAAAATACGAAGTTTGAGTTATACTTTATTGGTGATTTCTTTTCTAGGAAAGATCTTCCTACTTGGAGTACCAAAAAGTAATGAGGGAAATAGAACATTTGAGTCGTTTATATATTGCCTATCAGTTTTTGCTGGCTGAAGATACAAAAGAACGCTCAGCCGAGGAGTTAAAAGAAATGCAAGATAAAGTTGTAAAGCTTCAAGAAAAATTGTCTGAGAATGATAAAAAAATAAAAGCACTTAGTCATGAAATAGAAGAGTTGGAAAAAGGAAAAGATAAGGTCAGATATATACGTAAGAATAGATAATATACTGTGAAAAAGTTATATACAATAACTAATATTCACTGGGCATGGTCTTCCATATTGATTTGTTAATCTTAATGTATGATAATAAATAGCTTATAAAAAGTAAATCTTCTAGAAGTCATACAAGAAGATGATGACATGAGTAAATTATAAGTACGTTGATTGAATTGGGTGCATTTGATTATAGGAAATTGGAGGTATACTCCGATCTTTAGAAGATGCTCTTGCAGAAGCTCAGCGAGTTAATACTAAATCTCAAAGTGCCTTTGATCTCAAGAAGAAAAATCTGGCAAGTGAAGAGAACAAACGCAAAGAGCTAGAGAAAAATATGATTGAGGTAAGTAAATATGAAGTTCAGTTTAATTCCACTAGTATACATTTGTCTGTTACATTAATATTTATTGAGTGTGTGCTATGGACCAAGTATAGTTTGGGCTAGGAATATAGCATTGGATTTTTGTCTTTGACAATTGGAAATATTGTTACCATTAGCTTAGTAGAGAATAGAAAGAAGTACAGTGTGAACATAATAGGCTTGAGGTGCCTGTTAAAACATCTAAGTAGAGATGTTGATTAGGTAGTTGAATATGGGAATATTGAATCCAGTCTAGATAGACAAACCACAAAAAGGCTTTTTTTATATGCACTCATTTCTTAGGTAATCCCATCCAGCCTGGTAGCCCTAAAATACCATCTGCAGGGTGATGTTCAGATCTATAATTAACCTTGACTCCTTCCCTGAATATTTGTCCAGCTATTGGATTGACGTTTTTACATACTTGATTAACAAAAAGTCTAAAACTTAATGTATCAAAAAGAGAACTCTTAAATATTCCCTGCCTACTCAAACCTTTTATTTTTTTTTAAAGATTTTATTTATTTATTTGACAGATAGCGAGAGCAGGAACACAAGCAGGAGGAGTGGGAGAGGGAGAAGCAGGCTTCCCGCCAAGCAGGGATCCCAATGTGGGGCTCGATCCCAGGATCGAAGGCAGACACTTAACTACTGAGCCACCCATGTGCCCCCCAAACCTCTTTTAGTAGCTGAATTTTCCCTGTGTTAGAAAATGGTACCAGGCACCACTATTAACCTAATTGTTCAGTCCAGAAATCCTGGAGTCTTCCTGCATTCCACCTTTTTTTCTCAAACTCCATATCTAGTCCATCAGCAAACTCTCTTGACTTTAAAAGTACATCCTGAATACAGCCACTTTTCATCACCTCCATCACTGCTAACCTGCAAGCCATCATCACCCATGAGGGATGCTGTAATAGTGTCCATATCAGTTATCCTGCTTTTACTCTTGCTGCTCTACAGTCAGCTCTTTCAGAAGCTGAAATATGAATTGGATCACATCACTCTTGTACTTAAAGTTCCTTAATGGTTTCAAAGTCACATGTATAATTGAGCCTTTACCATCCCTACCTGATAGGGCTCCTGGCTCCTTTCCACTTGCTCACTGCTCCAACCCCAGTTCCTCAAACACCTAAGCATGTTCTGCAGTTTGCCTATTATTTGTCCCCCTAGTATCAGCATGATCATTCCTTTTATTTCATGTAGGTTCTTCTCAAAATGTCACCACAAAAAGGCCTTCCCTCATTGTTCTTAAAATAGTAGTTTCCATCACTTTCCGTCCCTTTACCTTGCTTTATTTTTTCCTCTGTCTTCCATTCTAGAATATAGGGCCCCTGAGGACCATGTCTTTAATGTCTAGAACAATGCCTGGTACATGGTAAACATCTAATAAATATTTAATGAATCATGAGTTAAACGTGGGCCAAAATTTCTGGTCACTTTCATGTAAATAATTTAGCTGGATTCTATTTTTTTCCAGTGCTGGTATCTTAGTATATATGGTGTTATAGTGCATATAACTTAAAAGATGTTAAGTATTAGTAATGCTGTTCCCATAAGTATTTAATATTTAAATTTTATGGCCTTTGATAGTTTATAAATTTTCGTGTACACGCTCCTAATCCTACAGTCTCTACTTTGAAGCTTAGAGTAGAATGGTTATTCAATTTTAAAGCTCTAGAAAGTGATTTTTAGTTTCTTCAAATGGTTGGTTTGCACTATAATATTTTAGCTAATTTCTAGATTAGACTGTAACATATGGAATGAAAGTATTTCTGGTAGTATAAGGGCACGTTTATCTGAAAAACAGGGTGAATTTCAAAATGGAAATAAAGTATTTAAAGTTATGATGGTTAAATTATTTTCCTTTTAACCATGTCCACTTCAAAATGCTATGAAATTTGATGACCTAAAGGTATAGGTGTATAGGAAAAAATGGATGTCTTTCCTAAAACCTAATACTTTCCAATCTTAAACTCTTTCTGAAGGATTCTAGAACTTTAGCAGCAAAGGAAAAAGAGGTTAAAAAGATAACAGATGGGCTGAACGCCCTTCAGGAAGCAGGTAACAAAGATGCTGAAGCTTTGGCTGCTGCACAGCAACACTTCAATGCTGTTTCCGCTGGCCTGTCGAGCAGTGACGATGGGGCCGAAGCAACTCTTGCTGGTCAAATGATGGCCTGTAAGAATGACATAAGTAAAGCTCAGACAGAAGCCAAACAGGTAAATACAGACGTTAACGACCGTGTGATTGCCTTTTTTTTTTTTTTTTTTTTTTTTTAGAAGCTGCTTCACATTATGCTTTAGCAGTTGTTGTAAAACATTGACAATATTCAGATCAGTGTCATGGAATTTGTTATTCTGCCACTCTATATCTTAACTACTAAATATTGATGACAATATTTTAAGATGCTATACAACATTAACTACTTTCATAGTTAGTTGAAATTGTAAATTCAGTAAGTGCTTTATTTGTAGTATTGTATGGAATATTTGAGGTTAATTTCTTGTTTTTTCTTATTTCTTTTCCCTGTTTTTGTTGGCAACATAAAGTTGCAGTCTTAAGCTTTAACAGGAAAACAAACATCCTGTCCATTTCTGTGCCCACCGCACTTAGTCCTTACCTTTCGTCCTTGGAAGTACCTCTACCTCCCTCTCCCCCATTCTAGTCTTCCCTTTCCCTACACTAATTTCATAATCTTTAAGGCTTGTCAGTGAAGGCTTTCAAATTTGTATATATATATATTTTAAAGATTTTATTTATTTGACAGAGAGAGACACAGCGAGAGAGGGAATACAAGCAGGGGGAGTGGGAGAAGGAGAAGCAGGCTCCCTGCTGAGCAGGGAGCCTGATGCGGGGCTTGATCCCAGGACCCTGGGATCATGACCTGAGCCGAAGGCAGACGCTTAACGACTGAGCCACCCAGGCGCCCCTCAAATTTGTTTAGATAGTTGTGCAGCTTTTAAAGTCCTATGGATGCAAGAGTTTTGAGGGCAGAAAGAAAAAATACATATATTTTTTCACGCATTTTTAAATTTTTTTAAAAGACAACTCCTCTTTAAAAATATATACAGATGTTCATATCTGTGTTGGTATTAATCCTGTTCAACATTTTCTGTTACACGTTTGCAACTTTTCCATTCAAAGATGATGGTCACAAAAATCTGTAAGAAATCAATAGAAAAACTTTCAGGTCCTCTCAGTTTTTCTGTTAACTTACTATATATTGGGAAAAGTCCACCATTATTCAGTTTTAGATGAGGTGACATCCACCTAGATCTCAGAATACTGGTTCATTCTTTTAAGGAACAGTGTACTCAGTTACATAAACTAGCATTTGAATATCCAACTCCTAGCACTGAAATTTCTCTTGTCAGTTTAGTTTCCCATTCCAGTGTAATTTTCTTACTGCTCAATACAGTTTCTCCACTGTTAATTGAACAACACTCACAAATACACAAATACAAATACACATATGAAAGGAAGAGAACTAGAGTTCTGATTACTAGCTTTCTATTGTGTTTTTAATTTAACCAGCTAATGACAGTTATTCTTGGATATAATTTTTGAACTCAGTAATGTAATCTTTAATAAGTATTAAAAATATGGACTTAAATTATAAATGATTTGATGAATTAGGTTAAGCATATATTCATTTAGACTCTGAGTAGTTTTCTGAGGAGAAAATACTGGGAAATGATTCATCCCTTGAGATATTAATGCAAGTGACCTAACCGTTACATTTTCAAGGCTGATGTTTCTTAAACCAATCTGCATTTTTGGCCATTTAATCATTAGCACTGTTTGCCTCACATAGTCTATTAAATTTTCAATAACAGGCGCAGATGAAGTTGAAACATGCTCAACAAGAATTAAAGACTAAACAGGCTGAAGTTAAGAAGATGGATAGTGGCTACAGGAAGGATCAAGAAGCTTTAGAGGCTGTGAAGAAACTTAAAGAAAAACTTGAAGCCGAAATGAAAAAGCTAAATTATGAAGGTTTGCATTTAAACACTTGATATTAAATCATTAGGAGGTAGTGATTGTTGATAGAAACGAAATTAAATAAAGGAAATAGCAAGTACGAATTTTTTTTTTACTCTATTAATGGGTGTTAGTGTAAGAGATATTTCTAAATACAGTTGATCCCTGAACATTAGCTTGAACTGCATGGGTCTGCTTACTTGAGGCTTTTTTTTGTTTTGATAAATACAATTTAGTACTGTAAATGTATTTTCTTTAACTTACTTAATTGTAAGAACACAATATATAATACATAAAACAAACTATGTGTTAACCATTTATCTTCTCCATAAAGCTTCTTGTGAACATTTGACCATTAGTTAAGTTTGAGGGTCAAAAGTTAAACAAATTTAGGGGTGTCTGTTTCAGTGGTAGAGCATACAACTCTTGATCTCAGGGTGGTGAATTCAAACCCTATGTTGGGCATGGAGGTTACTTAAAAAAAAAAAAAAAAAAAATCATGGATTTAGAACTGTGGGGCAGGAGTGTCAGTGCCCCAACCTCCTCCCAAGTCGCCCCATTGTTTAAGGGTCAACTAAGTATAAAACAGCTGTTCTTTTTAATCCCAGTATAGTTAATATACAGTGTTATTTTAGTTTCAGGTGTAGAGTATAGTGATTCAACAGTTCTATACTCAGTGCTCATCATGATTAAGTGTACTTTTAATCCACTTTACCTGTTTCATTTCACCCATCCGCCTACCACGTTCCCCATCAATTTGTTAACTATAGTTAGTGGTTTTTTGGTTTGTCTCTTTTTTTTCCTTATTTGCAGCTTTGTTTCTTAAATTCCACATGAGTGAAATCATGGTAATTGTCTTTTTCTGACTGACTTATTTCACTTAGCGTTATACTCACTAGATCTATCTGCGTTGCAAGTGGCAAGATTTCATTCTTTTTTGGTGGCTGAGTAATATTCCATTGTATATCTATATCATATATTTATCCATTCATCTATTGATAGACACATGGGCTGCTTCCATAATTTGGCTATTGCAAATAATGCAGCAATAAACATAAGGGTGTATATTTTTTCAAATTAGTGTTTTCATTTTCTTTGGGTAAATACCCAGTATTGAAATTATTGGATTAGATGGTAATCATATTTTTAATTTTTTGAGGAGCCTCCATGCTGTTTTCCATAGTGGCTGCACCAGTTTGCGTTCCCACCAACAGGGCACAAGTGTTCCTTTTTCTCCACAACTTTGCCAACACTTATTGTCTCTTGTTTTGAGTATAGCTAGGTGTGTAGGTGTGAAGTAAAATCTCATTGTGGTTTGGATTTGCATTTCCCTGGTGATTAGTGATGTTGAGCATCTTTTCATGTGTCTGTTGGCCATCTCTGTGTCTTCTTTGCAGAAAGGTCTGTTTATGTCTTCTGCCCATTTTTAATTGGATTATTTGTTTTTTTAGTGTTGAGTTTTTTAAGTTCTTTGTATATTTTGGATACTAACCGTTAATGGATGTGTCATTTGTAAATATCTTCTCCCATTCCATAGGTTGTCTTAATTTTGTTGGTTGTTTCCTTTGCTGTGTAGAAGCTTTTTATTTTGACATAGTCCAATAGTTTATTTTTGCTTTTGTTTCCTGTGCCTCAGGAGACCTATCTAGAAAAATGTTGGTATAGCTGATGTCAGAGACATTATTGCCTATGCTTTCTTTTAGGATTTTTATGGTTTCAAGTCTGACGTTTAGGTCCTTAATTCATTTTGAGTTTATTTTTGTGTATGGTGTAAGAAAGTGTCCAGTTCCCCAACACCGTTTGTTGAAGAGACTTTTTCCCATTGTATATTCTTTTCTGCTTAGTCAAAAGTTGATTGACCATATAATCATGGATCTATTTTGGGGCGCTCTATTCTATTCCATTGATCTGTGTGTCTACTTTTGTGCCTGTACCATACTGTTTTGATTACTGCAACTTTATAGTATATCTTGAAATGTAGGATTGTGATACCTCCAGCTTTGTTCTTCTTTTTCAAGATTTGCTTTGGCTCTTCAGGGTCTTTTGTGGTTCCATACAAATTTGGGGATTGTTTGTTGTAGTTCTGTGAAAAATGATACTGGTATTTTGATAGAGATTGCATTACATCTGTAGATTGCTTTGGGTGGTATGGTGAATTTAACATTATTTGTTCTTCCAGCCATGAACCTGGAATACCTTCCCATTTGTTTATGTTATCTATAATTTTATTCATCAGTGCTTTATAGTTTTCAGTATACAAGTCTCTTACCCTCTTGGTTAAGTTTATTTCTAGGTGTTTTATTATTTTTGGTGCAATTGTAAATGGGAATATTAATTTTTCTTTCTGCTGTTTCATTATTGGTGTATAATTTTTCTTTCTGCTGTTTGATTATTGGTACATAGAAGGCAACAGATTTCTGTACATTGATTTTGTATCCTGCAATTTTACTGAATTCATTTATCAGTTCTAGCAGTTTTTTGGTAGATCTTTTGATTTTTCTATATATAGTATCATGTCATCTGGAAATTGTGAGAGTTTTACTTCTTCCTTACCAGTTTGGATGCCTTTTATTTCTTTTTGTTGGCTGATTGGTGTGGCTAGGACTTTAGTATCATGTTGCATACAAGTGGTGAGAGTAGGCATTCTTGTCTTGTTCCTGATCTTAGGGGAAAAGCTCTGTTTTTCCCCATCGAGTATGTTGTTAGCTGTGGGTTATTTATACAAGGCCTTTATTATGTTGAGGTATATATCCTCTAAACCTAGTTTGTTGAGGGCTTTTATCGTGAATGGATGTTGTACTTTGTCAAATGCTTTTTCTCCATCTATTGAAATGATTGTGTGGTTTTTATCCCTTATTTTGTTGATGTGATATATCACATTGAATGATTTGTGACTATTTAACCACCAGGAATAAATAAATAAATAAATTTGATTGTGGTGAATGATTTCTTTTAATGTATTGTTGGTTTTGGTTTATTAATATTTTGTTGAGGATTTTTGCATTTATATTCATCAGAGATACTGCCTGTAGTTCTCTTTTTTTAGTGTCTTTATCTGTTTTTTGTTTTTTTTTTAATCAGGGTAATGCTGGCTTCATAGAATGAATTTGGAAGTTTTCCTTCCTTTTCTATTTTTTGGAATAGTTTGAGAAGAATAGGTATTAACTGTTCCTTAAATGTTTGGTAGAGGGGCACCTGGGTGGCTCAGTTGTTAATCGTCTGCCTTCAGCTCAGGTCATGATCCCAGGGTCCTGGGATCAAGCTCCACGTCAGGCTCCCTGCTCTGTGGGAAACCTTCTTCTCCCTCTCGCTCTCCCACTCTCCCTGCTTGTGTTTCCTCTCTTGCTGTGTCTCTCTCTGTCAAATAAATAAAAATCTTAAAAAAAAGTTTGGTAGAATTTGCCTATGAAACCGTCCGGTCCTGGACTTCGGCTTTTTGGGAGTTTTTATATTACTGACTGACTCAGTTTCATTTTTGGTAGTCAGTCTGTTAAACTGAAACAGGAAGAAATAAATTTTTGTTGGGTTGTATGTTTCTAGGAATTTATCCATTCTAGGTTGTCCAATTTGTTGGTATATATTTCTTCATAATATTGTCTTACAGTTATTTGTATTTCTGTGGTGTTGGTTGTTATTTCTTCTCATTTCTGATTTCATTTGAGTCTTCTTTATTTTCTTGCTGAGTCTGGCTAAAGGTTTATCAATTTTGTTGATCTTTTTTAAAAAAACCAACTCCTGGTTTCTTTTATTCTTTTCTTTTAGTTTCTCTTTCATTTGTTTCTACTCTAATCTATATTATTTCTTTCTGCTGGTTTTGGGTTTTGTTTGTTCTTTTTCTAGCTCCTTTAGGTATAAGGTTAGGATGTTTGAGGTATTTCTTGCTTCTTGAGGTAGGCCTGTATTGCTATAAAATTCCCTCTTAGAACAGCTTGCTGCATCCCAAAGATTTTGGACCACTGTGTTTTCATTTTCATTTGTCTCCATGTACTTATTTCCTTTTTTTTTTTTTCTTGGTTGTCCCATTCATTCTTTAGTAGCATGTTTTTATCCTTCATGTGTTTGTACTTTTTGAAGACTTTCTTGTTGTTGATTTCTAGTTTCTTAGCATTGTGGTATGAATTTGTTGAGACTTCTTTTGTGGCCTAATATGTGATCTATTCTGTAAAATGTTCCATGTGCACTTGAAAAGAATGATGGCCTTGCTGGATAGAATACTCTTGGCTACAGGCTTTTTTTCTTTCAGCACTTGAATATAGCATGCCACTCCCTTCTGGCTTACAAGGTTTGCAACGAAAAATCAACTGATAACCTACGGAGTTTCCCTTGCTTGTAACTGTTTTCTCTTGATGCTTTTAAAATTCTCTATAACAACTTTTTGCCATTTTAATTACTCTGTGTCTTGGTTTGGACCCCACTGAGTTGATTTTGTTGGGATCTCTCTTTGCCTCCTGGATCTAGACTTGTTTTCTTCCCTAGATTCAAGAAGTTTTCAGTTATTCTTTCTTCAAATTTTCTGCCCCCTTTTCTCTCTCTCCTTCTGGAATCTCTATAGTGGGAAAGTTATTACACTTGATGGTATTGCTGAGTTCCCTAAGTCTGTAATCATTTTTTGTTATCTTGTCTATCACCTGTTCAGCTTGATTGCCTTCTGTTACTTTGTCCTCTAGGTTGCTGATCTGTTCTTCTGCCTCCTCTAGTCTATTTGTTCCATCTTGAGTATTTTTAATTTCATTTATTGAGTTCTTCATCTGATTGGTTCTCCTTTATGTTTTCTGTCTCTTTGTTAAGGGTCTCACTGAAGTTCACTCTTTTCCAGGTCCAGTGAGTATTTTTATGATCATTACTTTAAATTCTTTATCAGGCATATTACTCCTCTCTGTTTCATTGAGCTCTCTTGCTGTGATTTTTGTCCTCTTCCTTCCTTTGGGGATATATCCCTGCATCTCCTCATTTTGTCTCTCTGTGTCTGTTTCTACATGTTAGGAACATTAGCTACGTCTCCTGCTCTTGAGAGTAATGTCCTTCTGAAGAAGAGTTCCTGTAATACCCTCAGTGCAGTGTCCCCTGTTCACCAGAACCTGATGCTTCAGTGGTATCTCCTATGTGATATGTGTACCCTACTCTTGTGGCTAAGCTGCTTTTGCCTTCAGTCTAGTTGTCTGGAATGTCTCTCTTTGCCTGTCATGGACAGGGTTTGAACCCTGAGTTGTTAGTGGGCCAGTCTGGGGCTGCCTTGGGCTTGAGTGGAGTCAGACCAGGTGTTTGCCAGAGAGGAAGAAGCTGCTGAGACCACATGGATACCCCAACACTGCTCCTAAATCATGGGGCAGTCAGCAGCTAGTGTCAGGGGAAGTGAGAGGGGGAGGGGAGAAGAGGTAGGTGATGATGGCCCATTAGCACAGAACTGCTGGGGTAGCACAGAACTGTTTGTTGTTTTCCCCGGAGAAAGCCCTTGGTGGGTGAGGCCTACAGTCAGACCAGGTATATGACCCCAGCCTACTGCTGAGGCCTCAGTAGGACTGGTATATGTCGTTATCTTCCCCCTCTCTGCAGCGTAGGGAGTTATTTTAGAGTTGGGCTGGTCCCTGTTGGGGCTGTTTGTACCCTGCCTGGCTTGGACTGCTTTGGATGGGCTCTGACCCAGGGCATATTGGAGGGGGCAGGTCCACACGAGAAAGCAGAGTGCGGCAGCAGTTTTATCAAGGTTTGCACAGGTCTGTTGTGGGAAAGGACAAGTCTGCAAAACTTGGGTGAGATGCACTGTTAGCAAGCTAGGTGGAGACCTATGCTGGTTCCTGCAAGTGTCTGTGTGTCTAGGATCCGGGGGGTGGTAGAGGAGGAAAATAGTGCCTGCCAGCTCTTTTGTTCCTGGAGAAGTTTCCCAAGGACCCCTGCCCCTCCAGCACATGCTCTGAGACTGGTAAACAAATCTCCCACCAGAATAGTCTAGGCAGCTTTTCAAACTGCTGCTTTTATGCTGTGTCTCTGTGGGGCTATTTGTCGTGCTATCTCTTTAAGGATGGGGAGTCTGTTTCCTCTCACCCTCTCAGCTCTCTTAGAGCTGAGCCTGCTGAGTTTTAAAGTTCCAAGTGTTAGTCCCTACAGATCATAAGAACTTGTGAAATTATGCCCCTCTGGTTTTCAAAGAGAAATGGTTTTTCTGTTTTGTTTGTTTTTTAAGATTTTATTTATTTGAGAGGGGAGAGAGAGAGAATGAGCACGAGAGAGCACAAGCAGGCAGAGGGAGAAGCCGACTGCTGAGCAGGGAGCCAGATGCGGGGCTTGATCCCAGGACCCTAGGCCCATGACCTGAGCTGAAGGCAGATGCTTAACTGACTGAGCCACCCAGGCGCCATTCAGTGGGGATTTGTTTTCCCCTTGCGGTTCCCTGTGCTTGGGGTGCCTGGTGTGACTACAGTCCATTTCTCTCCCGTTTCTGTGCCCTCGGTGTCCCTCCCTTCCATTGACAGTCCTGCAGGTCTGCTTGGCTCCTGACTGTATCTCTGCCCTTCCTACCCTGTTTCATGTGGCCTCTTCTCTACATTTAGCTGTGGAGAGTCTGTTCTGTCAGCGTTTGGGCAATTTTCTGGGTTACACTGATGTAGGTGTTATCTAGTTGAATCCATGGGATGTGGTGAGGTTAAGATTCTCCACTTTACCATCTTCCCAGCTCTTTGAATTTTTGAAAACTCACTACTGACAGTTTCCTGCTTTGGTCACCAAAGTGCCATTTGAAAACTCCCAAAATGTCATTTGTATATTTCCACATTTGTAGTTATTCAATTCATATATTGTTTTTGGAATGAAAATTTCTGTTACTTGTTGGTAATAATTGTCTACTTGATCTTTAATATTAAGCATGCTTTTTATTTAATACCAGAAATTTGTATTTTGCTTCTAGGAATGCTCTGGAAATAGAGGTTACTGATAGTTTCTTTAAAACTGTAGAATATTTGCATTTTTAAAACTCTGTTTCCATTTACTTGTGATTTACTGTTCAGAAAACAAAGAGGAAGGACTTCTGGAAAAGCGCAGGCAGCTATCTCGTGATATCAGTAGATTGAAAGAAACATATGAAGCTCTCTTAGCCAGATTTCCTAATATTCAATTTGCCTACAGGTAAGAGATTTAAACCTTAAATTTTAACATGGTAATAGCCAAGATACATTTTTATTTAAGCTCAAAGACAATCTGAAAATTTCATTACATCAAGATTTCTGTATGAAAAATATTGTAAGCTACTTTTCCTTAATTGGTATTTTTTCCCTAAACACTTACTGAAATGTTAACCAAGATATATTTTCATTTAAGATGGAAGACAATCTGAAAATTTTGTTAACATTAAGATTTTTGTATGAAAAATATTGTAAGCTGCTTTTCCTTAATTGGCATTTTTTTCCTTAAATAATTTATTGAAATGTTTCAAGTGTTGGCAGTGGGAATTCTTAAGACCAAAATGAGGGAAATTAGATCTCAGTCCAGAGTTTCTTTAAATATCTAACATTAACATTTTACAATTTACAAATTTACATGGGTTTTTTTTCATGGAATACTTAGAGTAATATATGTATTACAAAGATTATAGCCTCAGGGGAGCCTCGGTGGCTCAGGCAGTTGAGTGTCTGACTCTTGGTTTCAGCTCAGGTCATGATCTCAGGCTTCTGAGATTGAGCCCTGTGTGGGGCTCTGCACTCACTCTCTCTGAAATAAAGTTTTTTTTTTAAGATAGAGAGAGAGATAGAGCAGGAACACAAGCAGGGGGAGTGGGAGAGGGAGAAGCAGGCTTACCACGGAGCAGGGAGCCTGATGTGGGGCTTGATCCCAGGACCCTGGGATCATGACCTGAGCCGAAGGCAGATGCTTAACGACTGAGCGCCCCTGAAATAAATCTTAAAAAAAAAAAAAAGATTATAACATCAAAGTTGTTTTTGTTTCATTGAAAACAATATGTACTGAAAGATCTTTTGAGTGACTTAAAATAAGAGTTGACTAGTCATCTGAACATTAAATTTTTTTTTCTTTTTTTCTTTTTTTAAAGATTTTATTTATTTATTTGAGACAGAGAGAATGAGAGAGCCAGAGAGCACATGAGAGGGGGGAGGGTCAGAGGGAGAAGCAGGCTCCCTGCCGAGCAGGGAGCCCGATGCGGGACTCGATCCCGGGACTCCAGGATCATGACCTGAGCCAAAGGCAGTCGCTTAACCAACTGAGCCACCCAGGCGCCCAAATTTTTGTTTTTCTTAAAAGTGTACATGCTTTTGATGTGTTGCTAGGACGAGCTCTTCACTAGTAAAATACAACTTTTTCTATTTTATTGTTTCAGATTAATTTTTGTCAACTGTTCTATTTTAGGGATCCAGAGAAGAACTGGAATAGAAATTGTGTGAAAGGACTTGTAGCTTCCCTGATTAGTGTGAAAGATACTTCTGCAACCACAGCTTTAGAATTGGTGGCTGGGGAACGGCTCTACAATGTTATAGTAGACACAGAGGTAAATTAATTAAAGAAAATTTATAATTCCTCCTTAGCTGGAAAAATCATGAGCTGCTAGAATTAAGTACTTTCTTGATGTTTTAAGGTATTCCTAAGGTTGGTTATCTTTACAGGTGTAGCTGTTCAGTTAATGACTTTTTATTATATTCTTGATTATAGTATATTTGATAAAACTGTATTCCCAAAGAAGTCTTATGTTTACTTAGGAATCCAGAATGCATATTACCAGTTTTAGACTTTCCATTGTTCAGGATACTAGGCACTAAACATTTAATTGTGGATTCCTAAACTTGCACTCTTTCCCTCTGAACGTTTTCTGTCATTAATATTTCCTTATTTCAAATGCACAATTTTTTAGATTACTGGAAAAAAGTTACTAGAAAAGGGGGAATTGAAACGTCGATACACTATAATTCCACTCAATAAAATTTCAGCCCGATGTATTGCTCCAGAAACTCTGAGGGTCGCTCAGAATCTTGTAAGTCTTCTTTATGTTTTATGTACATCTTGTTTTTTAGTTTGGTTTTGTTTTGTTTTAGTTAGAGGACATTAACTTGGGGGACATAATCATATGTAGAACCACAAAATTTTGTTGTTACCATGCCTTAAACATTTAAGCTACCAAAAAAGGGTTGGCTTTTGTGAAAATAGATGGAAGGACCAGTAGAAACAGTGGAAAACTAAAACTACCTTTGAATATTACAAAGTTGTAATGTTAAAATGTCTTTAAACCTTCAGTCCGGTCACATGACAATCACATGATATTAAATTTCCAATCTCTGAGTTACGAGAATTACAGAGTTTATAAATACCAGAATTCTTCAGTTTTTTTTCATGCCAGACACAGTAAAACTGCCCACAGTGACATCTGTTATCTATCAATCTTACAGAGATGCTTAGAGTTTCTCTCGGTTGCCTTCCAGCCTCTGGACATACAAAGCAGGGGACCAGGATACCCATTCAGCTGCTGAGGTGGATCTAAAGTGGTATTGCTATTAGTAAAAAAAATAAAAACAAACCCCAGAGGAGTACAAGGCAATACATTTAAAAGGCAATTATAGTTGTGTAATATTGGGTAATAACATGAAGCCAATCCTAATGTTCAGCAGTGTTACCAGTTTGTTATTGAGCAGGCATTCCAAGTGCATCAGTTGAAAAGACAGTTCTGTGAAACTTAGAAATGCATTTATAATTAAGATACTAAATGGATACTCAGTGTTCTTGCTGCTATTGAGAAGCCTTCAGTGAAAATTATTTTAAAATACAGTTGTATTGACATGTATACTCAGAAGGAAAATGAGTGCAGAGTAATTGAAAGGTAGTGTTTCTGAGAAACAAACTGAGGGTTCTAGAGGGGAGGGGGGTGGGAGGATGGGTTGGCCTGGTGGTGGGTATTGAGGAGGGCACATTCTGCATGGAGCACTGGGTGTTATGCACAAACAATGAATCATGGAACACTTCATCTAAAACTAATGATGTAATGTATGGGGATTAACATAAGAATTAAAAAAAAAAGAAAGGTAGTGTTTCTGGTTAGTACTTTGTTTACTTTGAAAAATCACCATTAGGTCTGGAAGATTTTGGAAGTTACTTCAGCTTTTGGACAAGTCCCAGTGTAAGAAGTGGGGTTTCAGGTAGTAGCAAAAATACTTCTAGCCAGGTCCCTTAGCCAAACCTTTTTAATGATAGCTGCTATGTCAGAGGGCAATGCTGAACATTTGTTATACAGAGCTGCCTTCATTTTGATTTGTCTTGCTGCTGCTAAGCTCCTTAAAGGATGCTTAGTTGTTTTAAAAAGATGGGCAGAAGTACACATCAACAAAGGTTGAGAAGAGGCAGTTGGATCAAAATACAACACCGAGGGATTTAAAATTTTTTTTGCCCTCTCAATGGCTAGTTGTGTTTTTCTGTAACTGATAGATAGGTGGCTGCTTAGCATGTTTAATTTGAATGAAAATGTATTCACTATAGAAAAAGTAAATTAATAATTGAAATAGAACATATTATATAATTGTGTTGATCCAGCAATTGCCGTATTTTAACTAAGAGAGTGTGTCCAAATAGTCCATTTTGGATTTAGAAACTTGGTACTGGCTCCTGCTTAATAGACACTCTCATAGTACCTGGTACTTTAAATATTTTACTTAGCCATAGAAGTTTCAATGTTTAAACTTGAAATTTTTTCTAAAACTCTTGTTTTCCATAGTATTTTAGAAAGGTCAAAAGGAATTGTAGTGCTAGGTAAGTGGTACTTAAATTTCTAGTATAGCAGTTCTGTTTTGTAAAATATTTGAAAAGAAAGGGGTAGTATGTACTGTGATATATTTGTTGTTTTCCCACAGGTTGGTCCTAACAATGTTCACGTGGCTCTTTCCCTGGTTGAATACAAACCAGAACTTCAGAAAGCAATGGAATTTGTCTTTGGAACAACGTTTGTTTGTAATAATATGGATAATGCAAAAAAAGTGGCCTTTGATAAAAGGATAATGACTAGAACTGTAACTCTAGGGGGTGATGTGTTTGATCCTCATGGGACATTGAGTGGAGGTAGGTTGCTTTTTTGTTTGCAAGGAATAAAAATAGCTAATATTTAATTCATTCTATGCCAGGTGCTATATATATTTGCTTTTTTTTTCCCCCTCATTTATTCCTTACAACTATTCTATAAAGTTTTATTTTCCTACTTTTTTAGGGAATGAAATTAAAATTAGAAAAGTTTAGTAATGCATTCAATAGCAAATAGTGTTAGAGCTAGTATTTTAACTCAAAGAGTTGGATTTCAGAGCTAATGTTGAACCTCTACTAAATATTCTTTCCTCTGTATGTTTATTGAGAACTTAGGATATGCCAGGAACCATACCATTAGTTCATTTAATGTTTCAGTAGCTCTAAGAGATAGGTAAAATTATAAAAAGGAGAAGCAGAAACAGAGTTATTAAGCATATCAGTTTACTAGTGACTTAAAAATCTAATATTGAAGTGCAAAGATTTATGGATTTGACTTTTTATTTACTTTTAGGGTTGGTTGTGGTTTTTTTGGGCTTTACTTTTGGGCTTAAACCTAAATGATTTAAAAAAAAAAAAGTAAAAATAAAAAAATACACAAGATATGAGACAAACAGCAACAAAAGAAAGCCTAGAAGACAAGATTAATACTCAGTACTAAATGTATTGAGTCAAAAGGAACTGGAACTTTAAACTCAAAATGGATGAAAGACCTAAATGTGAGACAGGAATCCATCAAAATCCTAGAGGAAAACACAGGCAGCAACCTCTTTGACCTCGGCCACAGCAACTTCTTTCAAGATACATCTCCAAAGGCAAGGGAAACAAAAGCAAAAATGAACTATTGGGACTTCATCAAGGTAAAAAGCTTTTGCACAGTAAAGGAAAACGGTCGACAAAATTAAAAGGCAACCTACGGAATGGGAGAAGATATTTACAAATGTCTTATCAGATAAAGGGCTAGAATCCAAAATCTATAAAAGAACTTATTAAATTCAACACCGAAAAAACAATCCAATCAAGAAGTGGACAGAAGAAATGAACAGATATTTCTCCAAAGAAGACATACAAATGGCCAACAGACACATGAAAGAAAAAATGCTCAATGTCACTTGGCATCAGGGAAATACAAATCAAAAACTACAATGAGATACCACCTCACACTAGTCAGAATGGCTAAATTTAACAACTCAGGAGATAACAGGTGTTGCCGAGGATGTGGAAAAAGGGGAACCGTCTTATACTGTTGATAGGAATGAGAACTGGTGCAGCCACCCTGGAAAACAGTATGGATGTTCCTCAAAAAGTTAAAAATAGAGCTACCCTACCACCCAGCAATTGCACTACTGGGTATTTACCCCAAAGATACAAACATAGTGATCCGAAGGGGCACATGCACCCCAATGTTTACAGCCACAATGGCCATAATAGCCAAACTATGGAAAGAGCCCAGATGTCCATCTACAGATGAATGGATAAAGAAGATAAGGTATAAAATACACATATATATTTACATAATGGACTATTACTCAGCCATCAAAAAGAATGAAATCTTGCCATTTGCAATGACATGGATAGAACTAGAGGGTATTATGCTAAGTGAAATAAGTTCCGAGAAAGATAAAAATCATACGATTGCACTCATATGTGGAATTTAAGAAACAAAGCAATGAACATAAGGGAAGGGAAGGAAAAATGAGGAAAACAGGAAGGCAAACCATAAGAGACTCTTAACTCTAGGAAACAAACTGAGGGTTGCTGGAGGGAAGGTGGGGGCAATGGGGTAACTGGGTGATGGGGGCATTGAGGGCACTTGATGGAATGAGCATTAGGTGTTATATGCAACTTGTGAATCACTAAATTCTACCTCTGAAACTAATAATACAGTATGTGTTAGTTAAATTGAATTTAAATAAGACTCAAACAAAAAAGTAAAAAGAATCATTATGCAATATTGATTGTATCAGTTTTTTCTTTGTAACATACAGTGATGTATTAATTTCAGGTGTACAATTTAGTGATTTGACAATTACATGCAATACCTAGTGCTCATCCCAACAAGTACACTCCTTAGTCCCTGTAACCCATTTCACCCATCACCTTACCAGCCCTCCATCTGGTAACCATCAGTTTGTTCTCTAGTTTAGAGTCTGTTTCTTGGCTTATCTCTCTTTTTCTTCTTTGTTTCTTAAATTCCACATATGAATGAAGTCATATGGTATTTCTCTGACTGACTTAATTTCACTTAGCCTTATACTTCCTAGTTCTGTCCATGTCTTTGCAAATGGCAAGATTTCCTTATTTCTTATAGCTGAATAATATTCCATGGGGTGTGTGTGTGTGTGTGTGTACATACATACATACATACACACACATACACCACCTCTTCTTTAGCCATTCATCATTCGATGTACAGGTGGGCTGGTTCCATAATTTGGATATTGTAAATAATGCTGCAGTAGACATAAGGTGCATGTATCCCTTTGAATTAGTGTTTTTGTATTTTTTGCGTAAATACCCAGTGGTGTGATTGATAGACCATAGGGTAGTTCCATTTTTAACCTTTTGAGGAAACTCCATACTGTTTTTCACAGTAGTTGCACTAGTTTGCGTTCCCACTGGCAGTGCAAAAGAGTTCCTGTTTTTTAACATCCTCTGCCACACTTGTCTCTTGTGTTTTTCGTTTTAGCCATTCTGACAGATGTGAGGTGATACCTCATAGTTCTGATTTGCATTTCCTTGCGGAGTGATGAGCATCTTTTCATGTGTCTAATGGCCATCTATATTTCTTATTTGGAGAAATGCCTCTTCATGTCTTCTCATATTTTTTTTTTTTAAAGATTTTATTTATTTATTTGAGACAGAATGAGAGAGAGAGAGAGAGAGCCCAGGAGAGTGGGGAGGGTCAGAGGGAGAAGCAGGCTCCCTGCCGAGCAGGGAGCCCAATGCGGGACTTGATCCAGGGACTCCAGGATCATGACCTGAGCCGAAGGCAGTTGCTTAACCAACTGAACCACCCAGGCGCCCTGTCTTCTCATTTTTTAATTGGATTTTTTGGGTTTTGGGTGTTGAGTTTTATCAGTTTTTTATATATTTTGGATACTTATTAGGTATGTCAGGTGCAAATATCGTCTCCCATTCTGTAGGCTGTCTTTTAGTATTGTTGATTGTTTCCTTTGCTGTGCGGAAGCTTTTTATTTTCATGTAGTCCCAAATGTTTATTTTTGCTTCTATTTCCCTTTCCTTGAGAGATGTGTCTAGAAAAATGTTGCTGTGACCTATATCAGTGACATTACTGTCGGTATTGTCTTCCAGGAATTTTATGGTTTTAGGTCTTACAGTTCCGTCTATTCCATCTTGAGTTTATTTGTGTGTGTGGTATAGGAAAGTGGTCTACTTTTATTGCATGTAGCTGACCAGTTTCCCAACACCATTTGTTGAAGAGATCTCTTTTTCCCATTGGATATCTTTCCTCCTTTGTCAAAGATTAATTGACCATATAATTGTGAATTTATTTCTAGGTTTTCTGTTCTGTTCCATTGATTTGTGTGTATGTTTTTGTGCCAGTAACATATTATTTTGAATACAGATTTTTAATATAACTTGAAGTCTGGAACTGTGATACCTCCAGATTTGCTTTTCTTTTTCAAGATTGCTTTGACTATTTGGGGTCTTTTGGGGTTCCATACAAATTTGAGGATTCGTCTAGTCTGTGAAAAAACCCTGGTTGGTATTTTGAGAGGAATTGCATTAAATGTGTAGATTGCTTTGCGTAGTTTGGACATTTCAACAATATTTGTTCCATTCCATGAGCATGGAGTATCTTTTCTGTCACCTCTGTTTCTTTCATCAGTTTTTTGTAGAGTTTGGAAATATAGGTGTTTCACCCCCTTGATTAAGTTTCTCTTTCGGGTGCTTCATTATTAGTATATAGAAGTACAACATTTATGCACATTGATTTTTGTATCCTGAATCTTTACTGAATTCACTGATCAGTTCTAGGAGTTTTTTGGTGGAGTCTTTAGGGTTTTCTATATATTGTATAATGTCATTTGGAAATTGTGCAAGTTTTACTTCTTCCTTACCAATTTGGATGCCTTTTATTTCTTTTTTGTTGGCTGATTGCTCTGGCTAGGACTTCAGTACCATGTTGAATAGAAATGGTGAGAGTGAGCATCCTTGTCATGTTCCATACCTTCGAGTAAAAGCTCTGTTTTTCCCCATTGAGTAGGATGTGAGCTGTAGGTTTTTTGTAGATAGATGGCCATTATTATGTTGAGGTATGTTCCCTCTAAATCTACTTTTTTGAGGGCTTTTATTATGAATGGATGTTCTACTCTCTGGGATGCTTTTTCTGCATCTGTTGAAATGATCATATGGTTTTTGTCCTTTCTCTTGATGGTGTGATATATCACAATGATTTGCGAATGTTGACCCACCCTTGCATCCTGGGAGTAAATCCCACTTGATTATGGTGAATGATTTTTTTAAAATGTAGTTTTGGATTTGGTTTGCTAAGATTTTGTTGAGGATTTTTGCATATATATTCATCAGAGATACTAGCCTATGGTTCTCTTTTTTTGTGGTGTCTTTATTTGGTTTTGGTATAAGAGTAATGCTGGCCTCAGAAAAGGAATTTGGAAGGAATTTTCCTTTTTCTTTTTTTTTTTTTTTTTTGGACTAGTTTGAGAAGAATAGGTATGTTAACTGTTCTTTGAATGTTTGGTAGAATTTGCGTGTGAAGCCATCTCGTCCTGGACTTCGGCTTTTTGGCAGTTTTTATATTACCGATTCAGTCTCCTTGCTGGTAATCACTATTCAAATTCTCTATTTCTTTCTGTTTCAGTTTTAGTAGTTTATGTTTCTAGTTTATCCATTTCTTCTAGGTTCTCCAATTCGTTGGCATATAGTTCTTCATAATATTTTCTTAGAGTTGTTTGTATTATCTGTGTGGTTTGTTGTTATTCTCTTTCATTTGTAATTTTATTTATTTGAGTCTTTCCTCTTGTTCTTTCATGAGCCTAACTGAAGATTTATCAGTT